AGAGAGAGAGAGAGAGAGAGAGAGAGAGAGAGAGAGAGAGAGAGAGAGAGAGGCGAGAATTATCGCGAAATACGCGCGCACAGACGCAAAGGAGCATTAGAACTGCGGGCGCCTTTATATTTAGAAGCCTGGGTCGCGCCCGTATAAGGTGGCCCGCAGTGCAAAAGTGCTCTCTCTCTCTCTCTCTCTCCCTCTTTCTCTTTCCCTCTCTCCCTCCCTCTCTCCCAACTTTTCCCGCTATTTATTTATTGTTATAATATTGCATATATATACTATATAAATAAATATAATGTTGATTTTATAATTGTATATGACACTATATATAGAGTTATATTGATATCTTCTTTTCAACATATTTAATATATTTTTATGTATTAGCATATATCTCTTTATATAGAGATTAATATTATACTTAAGAGATAAACGGTTTTGAATAAAATAATACACAAGATTTTACACTTGTCATTTGTTTCGGTAAAAGAAAACATTGTAGCAGGTTTATTTATTTATACTGTACCGGATCCTGTACCTGTAACGTGATATATATATATATATATATATATATATATATATATATATATCACGTAATAGGAAATTTAAATAATAAAATATAAATCAAACTACCCGGTACAGTATGAATAAATAAACCTGCTACAATGTTTTCTTTTACCGAAACAAATTATATATATATATATATACATATACATATATATATATTTTTTTTTTATGTATATACAGTATAATATTAATTCCTATATAAATAGATGTATGTTAATATATAAAAATATTGTTGAGACAGAGATATCAATATATTACAACTCTATTAGTAGTATTATACAATCTCTAATATTATATTATACAACTCTAGTATTATATTATACAATTATAACATCGACATAAATAAATATATACATACATGCACATTGACCAGACACGTCATTATAATTTGAGATTTGGACACGTTCATCATTCTCTCGTAAAGATTGTCAAGATGTCCTATTTATTGATTTACATTTAGACCGAATCTTACACACATATCATCAAATTTACAATCCGCAGCATGCGTTTACATCTTAATTTGCGATTATCTTTAATTTCTATTTTTTTATGTGCTTTATTCATCTTCCTGCCGCCTCTTTATCTTTCTCCTTGTGTACATTATTGTTATGTTAATCCTGCATTTTTTATACATATTATTTGTATGTTATTTTATATGTAATAAGTTCTCAGATTTTATTCTGTAATGCTTAAACTTTTGCAAAGAGTTTTACATATTCAACGGATAATTCAAATTGTTTTGCAAGTATTGTCTTCGGACAAAGACTGGATAATGTAATTACACTATCACTGTACTTAGGCGCGAAAGATAGAGGAACATAAGAGGAAAAAAGAAAGAAAGGTGCAAGAGAAATTGGAACATGACAGACAGGAAAAATTGCAAAAAGCACGAGAAGCTGCTAAAGCGCGTGAAGAAAATACGCGAACCTCTCAGACGGATGCAGGAGGTGCGTCCCCTGGCATGGGCGATTTCTACCAATTCCTTAACGATCCTGAAGTCCTTCAAGCCTTCCAGGTAAGTATTAATATAGAGAAAGCGAGTCAACTTTTAAAACATAAAACTGTAACGCGCGTGGGTTGCACGTGGCTTGATCGGAACTATTAATTATGCAGCATTCATGATGATACGCGATACGATAACGTTCTCTTGCAAACTTGCAGGATCCAGAAGTGGCTGAAGCTTTCAAAGAGATTTCCGCTAATCCGACCAACATTCTTAAATATCAGAGTAATCCTAAGATAATGGCCCTTATCAACAAGGTGGCTTCGAAATTTGGCGGTGCTGGCGGTATGCCTGGCGGTTTTCCTGGTATGATGGGCGGTATGCCCGGTTTTCCTGGTGCCGGGGGAGGGCGTCCTAACCCTCCAAAACCGACTCCCCCACAGGACGATGTTGGTCTCGATTAATCGCGATCTAGTCGTTTCAAGCCTTTACTCTTTGCTATCTTTTGTTGCAGAGAAGTACGTATATCTTAATGTACGTTTGATTTATTAAAGACCAAGTTGTTTTACTTTTTCATTCTTTCTTTCTCTCTCGTTGCAGTAACGGTTGGTAATTTAATTTGAGAAAGCAATTGTGTATAAAAACCTGTAAATTAACGATAAGATGCGTAAGTTTGGTAGAATCTCAAAGATTTCATTATTTTTTTCTGCTCCAATTTCTCTGGATAATCTTTAGCTTGTCTTTAAGTTGTGTATGCGTAGAGCATCCGACTTGGATTCTTCGATAGCATTTTTTCTTTATTTTGTTGCTTGCGATTTACTTATGAATCGGGATAAACGCATCTTAAAGTTAATGAAGAATTTTATTTCGATCTTTGTAGTTAAAAGACTGTTGTCTTGGATAGATCGAAAAAAATGCTATTGTTCGATTATATTTCTTGCTATATATACAGAAAAATGAATGAATGAATATATATATATATATATATATATATATATATATATATATATATATATATAT